TGAACAGCCAGCTGGTTTAACACCCGGCAGGCCCGGCTTCAGGGCTAAGTATGATCGCTTGCTCAAAGTTGTTGTTGCAGCCATGACCAAGCGACAGCATGCCATGATTCACCATGCGAACAAGAAGCGCAAACCATCGGAGATTCAGGTAGGAAGTTATGTCTGGGTAAAGATGTCTGAATTCTTAGAGGAGGAGGGAGTCTCACGCAAACTCCTCCCACTCTACTATGGGACTTGGGAAGTTTTGGATGTAATTGGGGAAGATCACTTTGGCCCTTCGTATGTTGTCGACGTGCCAGCTCACCTGCGCACGTATCCCGTGTTTCATGCATCTAAACTGAATCTCCATCGTGACGCCGAGACATTCGATTACCGCGAAGATATGATCCCTCGCGCAATCAAGGGCGGGCATGAGATAGATAGAATCAAACAGCATGTAGGTAAAGGGAGAAGCAGACAGTACCAGGTTCATTTCATGTATCACCCGTTAGATGATCTCTACTGGATCTCCAAACAGGAACTGCTACGCAGCGCACCACACGTTGTTAAAGCTTACGAGCGACAGATCGCCGCTAATGCCACACCAAAGATCTCCGCAAGGCTCTCTGCAACAGAGTATTCCAGGAATCTCTTTGCCTTGCTCGCCTATGATGCGTTTACCGAGGACTCAGAATGAGTTACTCGCTCGAAGGGACCTCGCTCTTGGGGGGGGGTAGTGTGATAACGCGTCCGAACACGGACTGAAACACACAGCTGATTTCTGAGTTTTGCTCATAGACTGAATGCCCTACTGAGTTCCCCGCCTGCTAAGTCTGTGTGTGTGTGTGCTTGCTGGACTCCATGTCTGTCTGAGTGCTGGTTGGCTTGCGTGTGTGACCATGCCTGTCTGAGTGCTGGTTGGTATGAGTGTGTGTGTGTGTGGCCCGCCAGGGCACTTGTTCATTCGTTGGGCCCTCAGGGCCGATACTTACCTGTGGCCGTGGCTTCGAAGGGTTGCAGCAGGGAAAAAGCACTCAAGTAGCGGGTAGCCTGATACCGCACCCAGCAGGGGGGTAAATATGCAGGTACCGGAGGCCGAGCAGAAGAAGACAAAAGTGGCATTTTTAGAGGCCGGTAGTGTAGGTTAGGTCTAGCGGGTACCAGTCTGAGTCTAGGGCCTGTAGGGGCAATATCAGAGTCTGCAATGATGTTCCCTCCAAAAGGAGGAAGAGGTACCGGTTGCTTGGGAAGGCCAGCGGCCTGGAAGTCACCGCCCAAGAGGCAAAGCAGGCCGCTATATCTTCCAGTCGGGCGGAAGACCCGGCCTCTTTTTCGGTGTGCAAGTTTGGCGACACACTGGTGGAGCGCTGGAGGGAGCAGCGCTGGGTTGGAGCTGCGCTGCTGGGGAGGAAGAAGAAGGACTAGAGGGAGGAAGGAGGAAGGAAGGAGGAAGGGGGAGGAGCGCCAGGGGTACTTACCTGGCTATGGTGGCAGCCATCTTCATCACCTTGGTGGGCGCTGCTGCAAGAGGTCCCCAGCCGGGGGGAGCTACACCAAGAAGCTTCAAGGCAAGGTTGGGCATGGCGGCCTGAGCTGGAGCAGCCATAGCTGCTCTGGGTTGTCCTTTGGAAGTCGGTGCAAAGCCTAGTAGTCCGCCATAGCCTCGGCCTATGTGTGTGAAGAGTGGGGGAGGCAGCCATGGCTATGGTGGACCTTGAGTGATACCTGCAGTAGAAAAGGGGCTCGGACATGATTCTGGACCAGTCATTCAACATTGTATTATTATTTCTTGTATGAATAAGAGAAGGGGGAGATAAAGAGGAGGAGATTGTTGGGCGAAGAAGAAGAGCCTTGTCATCGTCTTTACTGGTGTACATCTTCTTCTTCTTCGTTCTTACTTCTTCTTCTTCTTCTTCTACTCCTCTCTCACCTCTCAAGTTCATTCATGTCTTTCTGCAATTGGATGGCATTGTACTTTCCAGTGGATGTGTATCTCGAAATTGGCCAGGGTCATAACATCTCTCTCTCTCTCTCTCTCTCTCTCTCTCTCTCTCTCTCTCTCTCTCTCCCTCGTGTGCAAGACCAACCTCACCGAAAGCGTGCTGGAAGACTGAAGAGCGCTGCCAACACAAGACCAACCTGTTGTGCACAAGACAGACCCGAATCGTATGCTAATTCACAGAGTGAAAGGGAGAGCGAAAAACTTTTCCGAATTCCAGCAGAAAATGATGCCAGTTACACCTACGAATTCCACCACAAAATGATGTCAGATACACGTATGAATCCCACAACAAAATGACACCAGATACACCGCAAAAGGCAGACGAACTCCTGAAAGCAGGTGTGTATTCAGAGTATTTCCTTTGAGGGCAGTGGAGATGGATGAAGGGAGGATTGACTGGGGAACGGCGGGGTGTAAGCAGTCATATATTTGGATAATATCTTTCGAGACAGCGCGGGAAGACCGATAGGGGAGAGAACGAGGTAAGACAAGCAGGTCCGAAGAAAGGGGATAGAGAAAAGAAATGAGCAGCCGAGGAGCGAATTATGAAAAAGTGCAAGCGTTTCTAGCTATGGGGGTAGCGGTGGGAAGAGGATGCGCGGGGTCGGGTAAGGAACGGAGGTCAGGTCGGTTGGCACAGATCGGGGGCAAGGGAAGGAGACACATCGATGGGAAGGTGATTAAAAATGGGGTTGACACAACTTGACAGTAGTTGGTACTCGAAGAGCTGGGAAGATGAAGGGTGGTCTCGGAGGAGAAAGGGAGAAATGGAAGAGGAGAACGCGGAGGAGGAAGGAGGGGGCAAAGGAACGGAAAAAAAGTGTGTACACATTGGAAAGAGGAGATAGAGGAGCAGTGATCATCAGCAAAAAGGCAAGTGTATCAAAGCATATCTTTTTTTTTTTTTTTAACAGTTCGTCAGAACCATCTGGTTCAGGCTCCTACCATTCTGGGGAACGACAGTCCGGTTTTTTTTTTTTTTTTTTTTTTTTTTTTT